AATCAATGGGGAAAATTCATGCTCCTTAAGTAGTCATTTTTTACCAAGTACAGTTTCTACAGGACATTGAAAAGTGGTGCATTAAAAAGCCGATATCCTGCCGAGTCCGAAATATCATAGGATTATGCCTCATGATAATCAGTATTTAAACCCCACCTAAGTAATCCTTCCTAACCGAAAACGCATTTCGAAATTTCAGTCAATATTTCATGCGATCGGTCACTCCCTGTAGATCTTCGATGAAACCTGAGTCTGGACTGGGTGAAAACCGAGCCATAAGTCTAATATTCTGTTTGACAAGCAACTGTTTGTCTAGCGAGTCATCTTCTGGCTTACAGGATGTCGTCTTCCTTTAATGTGTGCAGTACAAATCAGAGGTGATTATTACCAAGACTGCTAATGCAGCTTGCAACCGTCTGTCAGTTCTCCATGAGTCAACTTTATAGCTGAAACGGAAGGTCATTACATACTTAATTAAAACGCACCTCTGAATCGGTGCCTGGAGAACATGTCGAACACATCGCCTATCAGGCCATCGGCGGAGTCGATCATCAGTCTGGTAGACACGGAAGTGCACTTTTCTTGTGTTAACTCTCTTCTGTACCTCATCTTGCCTTACGCAAGACAGTCCACAAACGCTGGGTACCCGCTAGGTTGGGGAATCAAATGCAGTACGCACATGCACCCTTCGATAAAGCAGGAAAGACGATGTGACGAGGACACTGTGAGTGGATCCTTCTGGATGTTTCGGATTTCACTTTCACACCATACAAAGAAACCCTGTAGATCACTTCCCCCTATCTACCAGTTTTATCCCGATTTAACTTGAGAGTCGGTGACACTGCCGTTTCCCACTGTAGGCACCTCTAGTTATTAAATAATTTAATGGGAGTTTAGAATTGTGCATTTAGAAGAAAAAGTGGCGAGCCAACGTTGCTTTCGATAACTTCTCGTCAGGCCAGTACAGTTACATGGGACGGAGTACAGTGAGTGAGAAAATCGATAAATTACAGGATAGACAAGAGCGGAAGGGCGCAGAAAGTAGTATTTGGTTAGTCAACCTTTGACCACGGTAAGTGCGGAGCCTGAACGAGGTTCTTCTGGGCGCATAGGGTCGGTTTTCGTAACCTGATGGCGGCCGCTTCTGCTGTTGCTAACAGATGCTGGCGCAGTAGCTTAGGTAAGCTCGAGGGGACCTTGTACATCACACGAAATTCTTCAGCGGGGTCCCACGATGCCCTGAATCTACTGCATGCGCAGGGATGGCGCTGTCTATTCTCCTAGTTTCACCCTTTTCCAGCCATGCGGGAAGGTGCTCTCGTATTCTTTTGGAAGGATGTCGACTCGTACGACCAATATGACCTGCTCCACAGGAGCAAGTGAATGAGTAGATGCACTCTGAGGTGGTCTGAGGTGGCAGCCTATCCTTGCCTTGTCCACGTAAAATAGGGTTAGTAGAGAATGATATGCGAACCCTTGCTGATGGGAAGGTTTCCGAGACAGCCTGGTCAAGGCGTTTTCTTAGGATTTCACTTCAGCGTCTCCTTGGAATTGGACTTTGAGGAACAACGTCTTCTTTTCGGCGGTCAGTGTGGTGGGTTTTGTGGGTCGTCCGGCAATGTTCTTTGCAAAGAACCTGTCGGGATACCCGTTTTCGCGAAGCAAGTCCTGAATTTTTCTAAGTTCCTCCTCGATATCGTCTGTTGAACAAATTTTTCCAACCCTTTGTGCCAAACACCTGACTAGATTTCGTCTTTGTTGGAGAGGTACGAAACTGTCGAAGTTCGCGTATTGTCCAAACCAGGTTTTCTTCCGATAGACGCCCCTTCGGATGCTACCGTCATTGTAGGTCCGACATCACTATTGCTTCCTGCTTATTTCCAATTCTATGAGGGCCTCTTATAGCTGGACATCCGCTGGAAGGGGTTTCAACAAAAAGAAGGAGGACTAGGGCAGCTGTTTCTGCCTTATCGGTTGCCATCAGTCAGCCTGGGATCCAAAGCCAGATTCGTGGCAATTGAGCGTTACGAGCAAAATTCTACCATTACGCCACAGGACCTCTCTCATGTCGATTTTGCTCCTGAATACTCGCCGTCATGTGCATAATGTCCACTGGCCCAGTTACCGGACGTGCGCGTCCCGTTGCGCCTTGGAATCGTATGCTACCCCCTGCGAAAACTTTAACTTCAACCCCAAAACTTAACGAGGCGAGCATATTCGCTACCCTGATTGATTAATGTGCTTCCCCCGATAGTAAACTGTGAGTTGTTAGTAGGTGGGACACGTAGAAGAACACAGCCTATCTTTCATGTGTCGGTGCCCCAAGTCTCCGGGCTGTCATTGGCAGCTGCCGGAGGGACCCTCACCCGCGAGCGCTCCTGAAAATGCCAGGTGTTCAGAGATCACTGTAGCCAGTCAACGAGTCAATCACCCTCAGTGTGAGTCTGAACATGAACTGTCAGCAGAAAACGTTTGCACCAGATGCATACGCCAGCTTGTGTATTCGCCTTGAGCTAACTAAGTCTTAGATCGTAGCCGGCTCCGGGACAGGTGTGGGTAACCTCTGCCCTGGCCGCTACAAGCCTAGCTATCTATGAACGAGTTGATTTAACATTGAAATCATCCAACCCTTCGTTCAGTCGTGCGACCATATGCTTAGTGGTCCAATTATTTGGGCTCGCCAAAAGGTTGTAATTAGACGAACGCATCTCTCTTATTTAAAAGAAGGCGAAGGCGCGGTCACTGGGACAATAGGTTTATTTGCCTGAGCTTTCGAACTCGAACTAGAGTTCATCATCAGAGACTACTTTCTCTCTTATGTAAGACTACCAGGATCAGCACCCGACAGTAAGCAAAACAGATTACTGCTAAAATCTGGTTTTAAAATCTATGGCACCCCGTGAAGGGTAGCATTTTCTCCTTTGGGGACAATTTATCTAGGTACGCCACTATCAGCCAGGTTGAAAACGCAAACACTGTAAGTCATAGCTGGACCAATGAGAACGAGGATGTCCACCGTTACCTCACGGGACGGGTCCACTAGCGGTGACATGTGCGTGAAGTAGTTAGGGGTGGGACAGACTTAGTCCCCTCCCTCACTTCACTTCTCCAACACTCACCATGCTCCGATGGCAAGACTAAATCAAAACGAACAGAAGCGCATTTGTTTAGTCATCCCAGATGGTGACTTACCTGCTCCGCGGGTTATGATCTCTGTTCAGTAGAAAGGCTGTAGTTGCTCTTCTACGAGCTTCTGCCGCAATGCTGGTCCTCCCAACACGTGCGCACCAGGGCTGTCTGACATTCGCCCACTCGGATTTCCAACCGACCAATAAGGTTCAAGGCCGAATCAGTTGACGGAGCTAAACAACCCGTCTACGCGTACCACACACTACCTGATTCCTACTCCATATGAGGCCGATCGCACTGAATAGTGGTCTGGAATCTCACTTTGGCGAGAATTTCATGAAGGGCACAGTAAGAAGGAGACATTATAACCTGACCCTCACTCCTGAGAAGGACGACGTCGGCACGTCAGTTGACAGCCAATGGTGTAAGGAATGCTCGAGTTGTTGCGTTCACTGTGAATTGTTATGTACACACAAATAACCAAATGGGCTCATGCGATGTGAGGATGCGCGGGCACAGTGTAGGTAGGAAAGGCGTGCAGCAGGTCTTCCCAAGTCTCATGACTGATTTGGGGATGCTTCAGTGCGGTCTTCAGGGCGTCCTTTAAGCCGTGTCTTTGTCCGAGAGTTAACCTCCCACCCGCGCCCCAGCATTGGAAACGTGCTGCTTTATTGACGTCGGCCCATGTACCCCCCGTCCGTCATTCGGTTACAGTGACGGATCCCCTCGTCATTGTTACCGAATCAGTCCCGGCTCTGTCGGTATACGCGGTCGAGGACTTCCAGAGCGGCAAATTGGACGTCGTCACACAGTTTCCGCCGTTGAGTCCTAATAGCCGCATTCTCTTCCAGAACTTGCGTTTGGTTTAGACTGAGATTCATGCGGTGACAAAAATCCAACCGCAGTCCGGCCACAATCCAGTGATACAGTGTTTACGTTACGTGATGATCTCGAGCCTCGCGGCGACAGGGAGGTAGTTCATGCGCCAGTCAACAGCGCACATCGCTATGCTCACGGGCACACCACGCTGATCACGCCTCCGGACGAGGACTTAGTTCAGCAGATGCCAGTGAGGGAAACCAGAAGGCATCCACGTCGTCTGCTCCCGGATGTGTCTGTCCAGAGAATACTGCAGGGAGGGAAGATCAGACTGTGTAAGGTGTGCCGAGGAAGCCAGAAGAGACTGGAATGGTTATCTCTGGCGTCGTCGTCATCGCCGTCGGACAGCCTTACCTAACCTCAGGCCTCGGGGAACTGGATTTCGAACCCAGATTCTTTAATTATCAAATCCAACGCTCTACCACTGAGCCATAGATTCTTTGTCTCGTCTACTGCGACTGGGAATATTTATCACGGTAAAGTGTGTTCACCGGTCAGAGTACGGGACATGCTTGTCCACGAAATGCCGGATTTTAGATCATGGGACTGCGGGAGTCGGAGCGGCCGTCCGAGGATGTAAGTCTTGACACCACTACCTTTGTGCGTCTGTTCCAGGAGAAAAATGTGCAGTCGACACCTACTCCCCCCAATTGTCATCTTCATCTTCTGAACTGCTACCTGGAACTCGCCTGTTCGCTTCTATCAGCAATCTTTTTGGGCGCGAAGCGCTCCGATCGGCTCGACGGTGGGAAACCTTTGCCCTTCGAGAGTCGTCAACATATGCGCAGATTCGATTTCTGCACAGGTGTCTCGACAACAATGTGCTGCCGAAGTGCGTTTCATACAAACCTCCGGTCAACACACAGCTGGCGAGACGCGCAGTACTTCGGCACGGCCGACGAATGATCCGAGTGGTCCTTCAAGACTGTCACTCACGGATTCGCAAATACCGTCAGAGGATTGACCAAGAGAAAGCAAGGTGCTGCGAGTTCATGGGCGAGGACGGCAAAAAACTGCTTCAGCAGAGGCTGGCCGAACGAACCCGCGAACATAAAGCAACTCGCGAAGCAGCCCTAGAGAACAAATTTCGTAAGCTGCCTGCTCCAATGTCATCCAAGAACGACAAACTTGTGCACAACTTGTCATCAAAGGAGCTGACGGAGGAACAAACGCAGGTTTTACGGCATGAGGCCTCATTCAACACAGCCGATGCCAAACCTGCCAACATGATCGCAGCAGTGGAATCCATCCTCAGCCAGAGGGGAGCGACAGACGAAACGAAGAACCTCATTCGACATCAAGTGTCCTCCCTCCTCATGGCTCATAGGTCGCGCGACGTGCTTTCCAAGGTCGAGCGTGATGCACTTAAGGAACTCAGGGCCGACAACGACCTCGTTATCGTGCCTGCGGACAAGGGGCGTTCAACGGTCGTGTTGGACAGGACAGACTACAATCAAAAAGCCAAAAGCTTGTTGGAGGATCGTCAGTCCTATGTCCCATGCGAATCCAACCCCATGAAAACGCTGACACGCGAGATTAACGCGACGCTGTTGGCAATGGAGAACTCAGGTGCAATATCGCCAATCGACCGACGCATGGCGAGAGCACAAGAAACGGCCCTAGCTAGATTCTACGCTCTCCCAAAAGTGCACAAAGACGACGTTCCTCTCCGGCCTATCGTATCACTAAAGGGCACTCCAACCTACGGACTGGCAAAGTGGCTGTTCCAACGTCTCAAGTTTCTGACCTCCGATTCGAACACCACAGTCAGCTCGTCAACGCAATTCTTGGAGAAACTTAAAGGAGTAAGTCTCCTGCCAAGCGATATCATGGTTTCCTTTGATGTCACGTCCCTTTTTACTTCTATCCCGCAGGACCTGGCAGTCGAGACCATCGAACTACTCCTACGAGAGAAATACGACGAAACGGAGAATCGCCTCGGACACGCCCAAATCATCCAGCTCCTGAAGTTCTGTCTCAAGACGTACTTTACGTTCGACGGAACAATCTACGAGCAGGTGAAGGGAACGCCAATGGGTTCGCCGATTTCGGGACTCATAGCCGAGGCGGTCCTTCAACGGCTGGAGTCGCTGGTTTTCCGACACCACAGACCGAAATTCTGGGCTCGGTATGTGGATGACACCTTCGTCGTCATCGAACGGGATCAGGTGCTGACGTTCAAAGAACAACTCAACGGCGTCTTCCCGGACATCCAATTTACGATGGAGGAGGAGGAAAACAATCAGCTGGCCTTCCTGGATGTCCTCGTCTGCCGCAAAGTTTGTGGTAGCCTAAAAACCAAAGTGTTCAGGAAAGCGACAAATACGACGCAAATACTGAACTTCAATAGCAACCACCCGATCAGTCACAAACGCAGTTGCGTAAGGGCGCTATACCGGCGCGTTGAGACGCACTGCAGTGAAATGGAAGACAAGGTTGCTGAACTACAATATCTTCGACGGGTAATGAGAGCCAATGGTTACCCGCGCAGCTTTGTCAACCAGTGCATACGAAAACGACACCAGAGACCAAATCCAACCGGACCCAAATTTTGGCGGGCTCTTCCGTACGTGAAGAACGTCTCGGAATCCGTCAGTCGTCTTCTCACTCCACTTGGAGTTGGGGTTGCACACAGGCTGGAAGCGACCATTAGGCGCCAAGTCATGAGGCCAAAAGACCCGCTGCCACGGCAGGACACGTCTGGAGTCATTTACCGGATCTGGTGTAGTTGCGGACAAAGCAATTATGTCGGAGAAACTGGGAGATTACTCCGTACGCGAATTGCCGAGCACGCAGCAGCAGTGAGGCGGGGAGACGCTAACTCTCAGGTGGTGGCACACTCGACGGGACCCGGCCATAATTTCAAATTTCAAGAGGCCGAAATCCTCGCAAGGGGTGACAACCGCGTGAGCCGCGAGCTGCTCGAGTTATGGTTCTCAGGCCCGCAATCCATCAACAAGCACAATGACCTCCCGGTACCCTATAGCGTACTGCGATTTTCCCTGGGCAGGAGAATCATTCACGTGGGGAGGGCGTGGGCGTGCAATCATCACGGTGACAGTGAGCCAGTTTGTCGAGCAATCGTCACACCAGCATCCAGCACGGATGACGAAATCGCGGCAATTAACGACTCGGACTCGGACCGACAAGCCACCACCGCATCAATTACGGCCCCAGTGGTGATTACGAGAACTGTTAATTGCAGTGCGCATGCGGTCCCACGGCAGCCAGTGCTATAAATACTGCACTCCTGGTGCCACGATCACCTTTATCTGCTAATGTCTCTGATGATGGATTCGAGTAAGGATCCGAAACGTCAGGCAAATAAATTTCTTGTTCCGGTGATCGCATCTTCATCTTCTGAACTGCTACCTGGAACTCGCCTGTTCGCTTCTATCAGCTGTCTTTGTCTGAAGAAGCAGATTTTTCTGAAAGTCACGATGTCCACCTTCTAGCGCGCCACTTCAAGTGCGACCAGATTTCTCCCCTTTCTGGCTGTCTGGCCATTAATTTGCCCAAAAGGGCGCGGACATTACAGACTGCCAGAGTGATCACCGTCATCCCATCAGGCTATAGGAGGCATGTGGTTGGGATGCGGTGGTCTTTGCTTTGTGCGCTGTTCACCCCGTACACGAACAGTAGCCAGCTGCAGACGGCGTAAATAGCCAGCACTAGTTTAGGGCTCTTCTTCCAGTCATTTGCCCCTCCAGGAGGTATGCAGTGCTACTTACAAATAGGATTGTTCAGTCATCTCAGACGGTGACTTATCTGCTCCGCGGATTACGACTTTTGTTCAGTAGAAAGGCGTCCTGAAGAAGCCTAGGTCACCTACAGGAATCCCTGTTGCTCACCCCGAAGGGCTTTTTGTGTCGGGGAGGGGGGGGGGAAGAATTGGAAGAGGGTGAGACAGATATCGGATGTAGAGACACATCAGCTAATTTGGTTTAACCCTCGGGTCTTGGACGGCTGCCATGGTGAGGCTATCTAACAAAGTACGACTTTAGAAGACCGCAGAGGAGGATTGGGTGTCAGGTAGACGTCGTGCAGAGCAGCCACCACGTTCATCAGGCTCCTAAACTGTGTATCGCATCGCGGACACCATCATTGCAATGACAAATCCATCCATGGTCACTTGTTTTTGGGCCTTTTTGCTACTGCGCGGAATGTCCTGCTTTTGTGTATCTATAGTAGCCGAGTATATTTTACTTGTACATCCATTTTGCATGCAATTTTTTTCAAATACAGGTCTTGGATTTGTTCCAGCTGCACTTCGACCACTCAATTCCCCCCAGTAAAATTGCCGCCCCGTCCCCGCCATTCCACACAAAGTCGGTGGCCAGCCGCTCATCGATGGGGGAGGGGGGATGATAAGGTTTCTTCCTTGTGCGTGTAAGGAAGACAACTTCGGAGGGAACCCGGAATTATGTTCTTTTCAGCAGCGATTCCAGACAGATTGCACACACTGGGATAGTGGCCATCAGTTTGGTCCGGTTAGCGTGCGAGAGGGGGGGGGGGTAAATAACTGTGGAGACATGCCGGGCACGCGCATCTGCGCGGGTGGAGAGGGAAAGGCAACATATTTTACTACGAACCCGCAGTTTGTTTACCAAATGCTTTTTCTATAAAGTGCAGCTGACTCCAAAAGTACGGGTAAGTTCAGACCTAAGAAATGACACGTTCGAGCAGTTGTAGCGAAATTAAAAAGTGAACGTTAGTTGCTGATGAAGTAGACGGACTCCTGGACGCAGTCGTCACTAGCCGACAAATGTACACTGGAACGGATCAAGTACGGATGGATTAGATAGAAGGAGGAGGAGGA